GGGGGTGCGGGCTGGGTGCGGGCCCTGGGGCAGGGCTGGGTGCTGTCCCTCGGCTTACCCCTGGGGATAGCTGCTGCCATCAGCGCGTGTCCTAACCGTGCGGCAGCCTGGTTCTGCGTGGTCTGTGGTTCTGTTCGTGGTGCTGAGCACTGGGAAGGGCTTGTCTTTTTTGAGAAGTAGAAGGTTAAAAATCCTTTCTGCTGGTCTCATGGTTTGTTACTGGTTGGCGTTTTCTACTTAATTGAAGTAGAAAATTTAATCTGACATGTCAAATGTGGTCGTGGCTGGCTAGGGGCCAGGTTGGGCTGCTTAATCTCGGTTTGCCTTAAAATGGCTGACATTAAAGGTCACAGCCCGAATTTCCCTTTCAAATGTACTTTTAAAATCTTTTTTAGTAACTTTATAAATCTCTCTGTATCTGTTTTTCATCAAAAATCAATTGCTTCAGAAGACACCAGTCCAGAACCTTAGGTGAACGTTGCACGTGGCGTTTCTGGGCCCACTTTGTTGTCATGAAGTTTCTTTCATCCGAGGATTGGAGGAGGTGTGTGTTAACACATCCCTTTGCCCAGCACAGATCCCATTTGACAACAAATTATTAAGTTGCCTGCAATGGAAGAAAAAATGAATAGGAAATAAGGAAATATTTATTTCAGTCTTCTAGGTTCAAGTTTTTTGTAAGTCATTTATGAAGATGGCAAAAAAGTTACATCAGATTTTCAGTATTTCTTTTGCAACTTTGTATGTTTCATTATTTGGCAAAGAGAGGAAATGAAATAAAATCATCCAGATGTGAGCCAGTACCAGGGTTTGCTGGCTGCTGTGGCTGGGTTGGAAGTGTCAGAGTGGGGTATATTGTTGCTTGGAGTCTGTCCTAGAGTGGGATGTAGTCGGTGAGTCATAAGAAAGAGAAGGTTTTGTGTTCGGTATCTAGTCTTGTTCCGCATCTCAGTATCTTCCTGTAGTTGTGAGCACATTGCTGCTGCCTCTTTCGGCGTCAGAAGGGTGCACAGGGCGGGAAGTGTGGTACCGCACGTTACTGACCCGCTTCGGGTATTTACAGGTGGAATTTTTGATGGGTTCGTGACACAGCGACAGTATTTCAGTGGAGGGGGACACGAGTGTGTTCAGCGGGATGTCCGAGCAGGTGTCAATACACAAGAGCAAAAATGTATCAAATGGCTACAGGCTGTCGTCAGAAGCCTTCTGTTACGGGAGTTTCGGAGATGAACCTCCATGTCTTGATGAATAGCAACACGTAGTGCCTCGGTATTTCATCGAGCAGGTGGGAAGCCACCAGCAGTGCATTTGTGCGTTGTTCAAACGGGACCTGAGCACACGGTGGGTCTCAAGCGTGTCCGAGAGGCGGGTACTGCCCCACCAGCAGGTGATCTGTGTGAACAAAAGGGGATAGTGGATGGAAGGAAAACTGGCGGACACCATCGCAGCCGTTCAGAAATGATGTTGGCAGCAGTCCTTTTGTGAGTCCAGCTGAAGCACTTCACCACTTCAGCCAGCACTGGTTCGTCAGGAATACTGGAGAGTCCAGCGATGGGAGATGAAGTTAGAAAAATCAACACGCGCCGTTTAGCACCTGCTTTTCATCCCCCTGTTTTACCCCATTTCCGTCTCTCTTTGGGGAAGGCAAACATATTTTTCCCCATGCACACACCTTGTTTACTGCTTTTTTTCCCAGCAGCAGCTCATGTTTTCAGATCAATACTGGCTCCTGGCAACAAGAGGTAAAGCATCACGTCCCAGGGCTGCTGCGATGTTTTGTGCTCAGAGCCCTCCTGATCCTGGTGTCAGCCTTGATTCAAAGGGCAAAGAAGGGGGACAGTGGAGAAAGCTGGAGACGAGACTTTCTTTAAAAAGATTTAAAGATTTCTTTAAGTTCTTTCTCAACCTTTCTCAAACCTGACACCTGCTCAACTTTTTCCCCAAGCCGCTTGTTTTCACACCTGCCCCGTGGCGCTGGTCCTGCTCTGGCGGCGCCGCGATGCGTGGAGGGGGTACCGGGGTGGCCGGCTCCACGCCTCCCTGAACAGAATGTTCTGCAGACAGCGGAGTGCGGATGGCGGGGGGGAGGAACGGGTTTCCATGCTGAGTCTTGCCACCTGTTGCCTTTTTCATTCCAAGCCCCCCTTCCTCCCCACCCTCCACCCCAAGTTCCTCCCCACACAGCTCACCATCCCCAGTGGAGAGGGCTGGGATCAGCAGCCACTTGCCAAATACCTTTCTCATGCTGTCACTAATTCTGCACAGACAGCATCTCTGAAAGCAAACGCAAATCTTTTCCAATGCATTGTCCTGCGTTTTCGACAAAAAGCGTTTAGAAATGCCTTTTCTTAGCTGGGTTGGATGGGAGGGACGGTGCCACAGCCACTGCAGGAGCCAGCCTGAGGCTGTGCTGAAGGAATCCTCTGCAAATCCATCGGAGCTGGCATCTGGCACTGGCACGGGCTAATTTTGTACTTGGGGTTACACATATACACACCCTTGTCATTCTTCTTCATCTGCTACTTATGGAAAGCTGCCCCGAGCTCCAGAGTGCCAGGGAATGTTTTACTGAAGCCTCCAGACTGGGTTTGATGATGTGACCGCGCACGCTGGGCTGGGGAGGCGGCAAGAGTGGCGTGTGCTGCCAGAGGGACGGGCACGAGCGAGATCGTCATCGGCT